GGTAATATTATATGTGTAAAGATATAGATAATGTAATTAAATACTGAGATAGTCTTCGAACGCAGGCATAAGTGGATGCACGGGTGGACATGAGGATAGGGACAAATACGTGTGTAGATATATGTAAGTGCAAATTAACGCATGTGTGGGTATGTAGATATGCTGCATATTGCGTATGCATATGCATGTATGTGTGTATGTATATGTATGTGTGTATGCATATATGTGTATGTATGTATGCATATATGTATGTATGTGTATATGTGTATACATAGGTGTGTAAATATATATATATATATATATATGTGCGTATGAATATATATGGATATGCAGATGTCCTTATGTGTATATGTATATATGTAAGTATAAGTATATATGGAGATAGGTATGGAGACATGTGGATGTGCGTTTTCTCTGCAGGTGTATATGTGTAAAGATGGAAATATACATATGGTCGTTTCGTGTGAATGTGTGTGTAGGTGTATATAGGAATGCATAGGCATATAAGAAGATATAGGTATATGGTTACAAATAGGGGTTTAAGACATGTGTAGATAAAAAAATTGTAAAAGAAGGACCGAATTTTCTGCTAGTGACATCTCTTCCAAATATCTCCTCTAATATTCTCCAATTGGAAGTGAATTTTAAATAGCACGAAGGGAAATTTTAGATTGGTATTTTAATTGAGATTGAAAGATACTACCCCAGTGTGGAGAATAAAATTATTTAATGGGAATAACCGTTGATAATTGGGTACATAAAAACAATCACGAGTTTACTTAATGAACAAAAATCAAAAAAATCACGAGTTTACTTAATGAACAAAAATCAAACAAATAGATGTCAACCTAACAAGCTATAAGATAAGTTTTAGTGGAAAAAAAAAAAAAAAAAAAATTACTAAATATAAAATGGATTGCTCTTTCAATGTTCTGTCTATGGATTTTTCCAATCAATTGTTTCATAGAAAATACCCAAAACTCCACCGAATTTCAAATTAATTTCTTCGTAGATTGTTTTAACAGTTAGATATTTATCAAACCTTAACCTCCCAAATACGCACGTTAAAGTAACGTAAACTGACAGCGTCTAAGAATTTGAATGAAACCTGTCGGGTAATTTATTGGGGTGGTTGTAACTTCTTCCTTTAATGTCATTCTTATTGTGGCACCTTGCATTATTAGAAATATTCATAGAAATATGATTTAATTTTTTCTTACTCGGTTTACTAAACAGGTTGTTGATTTTTTTTAAAACGGAAAATAATTGAGTTGAAAATAATTCACTAAGATTGTACCTGGACGATCCTAAGGGAAGAAGAAGGAAGGGGAAAGAGAGAGGTCGAGAAATACAAAAAAAACGGTCATTAACAAAAACACGAGTCAGAAAGATATCTTAGCTAGCATGTTGACCGAATTTTTTTAAAGACAATTGGAAGAATAGAATTAGAAATAATAAGAAGAAAGAAAGGGAAAAAAGACATGATATCAAAACGGGCCGCTTGATGGAAGCCAGATATCGGTCAAAGCATCTAGCCTACTTTTGCGTAGAAAGACACCTTATCAATTTGGATAAAGAGAAATTTTGGGAACAATGAAACAATCTTAATCAGAGAAAAAAGTGTCTTTTGGGTTGAGGGGAGGACGGTGGAACGGTATACAGGCTCTGACCTGTTAAAAATTAGAACCCCACAATAATAAAGTGGAGACATTTTCAGTGTAGATAATTAAGATTTTGACTATCAGGAAAAACAAAGAGGTAAAAAGAGGGACAATTGCTTTTGGCTCACAGAGGGCGCCAAGAAGGCGGAAAAGATCCTTTCTGAAGTCAAGTCTAATTAGCGGGCGGGCTGTTTGACAAAGTCCAGGTGAGAGAAGGCCAAGATGGTCATTTTTCGTGCGTCTGCGAAAAAAAAAAAGGAAAAATTAGATTTTGTTTTTTTAGAACAAGAACGATATAAGCCCGCCCTGATTGATTGCAGGAAACGCCCAATCAGGATCTCATTAGTCAAAACGGTCACGTGGCTGCAGAAAAGAAAAGAAAGAAATGCTCAACCAGAATCCCATTAGCAAAAAACGGTCACGTGGCTGCGGAAAAGAAAAGAAAAAAATGCTCGATCAGAATCTCATTAGTCGAAAGCGGTCACCTGACATACGAGAGACCGAGAGAGATGGATATGCGCCTCCCCACCAAAAAGCACTATGAGGAAGTAGGGGTGAAAACAATAGCGATAATGAGAAATCAAAAATAATGCGACTTTTGAATTATCGAGAAAACCCCTGACGCCGACAGACCCACCCCAGTTTGTTGCGGCGTCAATAAAAGCAGGACCCCAGTCGACAGAAATCAGTTGAGTTGGAGTTGAGAGTTGCAGCTGGACCGCGGGCAGGGATAGAGCCTGAACGCGGCCATCAGGCCCGATTCACTCGCCTTTTGCGGGCAAAAAAAGAATCCTCAGACAAGAAATCCTTCCAGCCCAAGTCGAAGACAGAAGAGTTCAGCCCCGGACGGCAGCGAGAAGAGATCACCTCCACGACAGAGAGTTGCGGCTGAGTTGCAGCAAGAGATCCTTCCAGCCCAAGTCGAAGACAAGAGAACTTCCAGCCTAAGTCGACGAAGAAGAAGAAATACAACCCAAGTCGAAGACAAGAGAACTTCCAGCCTAAGTCGACGAAGAAGAAGAAATACAACCCAAGTCGAAGACAAGAGAACTTCCAGCCTAAGAACTTCCAGCCTAAGAAGAAGAAATACAACTCAAGTCGGAGAGAAGAATCAACTGCGAATGATCGATAGAAATTAGCCCCAGTGTCGAACCAAACCACACTCCGACATACGCAATCCTAAAGAGTAGGCAATTCGAAATCTTTAGGTTGTGTGATAGAACTTTGTGCCATAGTCCACAGAGCGGGTCGGGAAATGAGAACAAGTTTGTTTTTATGTAGCGGACATTAAGATATAAAGGGTTGTTACCCATTTTTTTTTCATCAGCAATCTTTTTGTCTCGTGAGTTTATTTTCTCTTTTATTTGTGTTTTGCCACCCCGTCGGACTCAACTTGTATCGGCCCCAATCCCTGCTGGTCCCGTCTGTCTAAGATCTAAACACAGCGTGGGTAGACAGGCCGGAGATCGGTACAGTTGCTTTAGTGACCAGGTATTGAAGCGAGTCGGGAAAGGCGAGGCTGGTGATCATCTGACCAAGGGGTTGGAGCGGCACGCTTGGACCCAGGAGGAGCGACCAGGAGGAGCGACGTCACCGTTGGCGCCGTAACCAAAGGATCCGACCCTGGGCCAGGTGTGCAACCGTCACATTATCATTCACCCCTTAACTATCTATATCTAGAGACGAGATGCGTTAAATTTGAGCAACATCTAGCCGACACACTGGGGTTAAAATAGGAAACTAAAATGATACATATGACACACTCATATCCTCTCTCCCACCTCACTTCGTTAACTTTACGTATACTTGATGAGGTCAGTAAAAAACGTGTGAATTTCTTTTCATTTTTCATTTCAGCTTTTGGAAGTAAAGTCTGATGATCCAGAACCCTGTTAAAGGGGTTATGGTGAAATAGCTTATTACATGGAATCTTAACGTGGTCTGTCTTTTATTCAAACATATCTGCTCTGAATTTTACATTGAGCTCTCTGGATACCATTCTTCTCAGGTCTACCCATACGGATTACCTAAGTTTGCATAAACTATATATATATATATATATATATATATATATTTCAGTTTTGTTGTTGTTGATGTATCAAGTAGAGAGAGAGTGTACTACTCCTGGTCAGGTCTTCAACTTTTGTTCGTGACTTACCAACTGCTGCTATCTGCTTTAGTTGTATTTTTCTATGATTATATTTTTATTAGATGTATTTATTAGTTCTAACTTTTGTGTTTTAGTAAAATTATGTTCCTGGTATTCATGGCATTATATGTGTTCCAAATGTTGCCATAGCAGTGGCTGATGGTGGGGAAAAAGCTCCTGCTGTCTTTAAAATGCTTCTGTGGCATGTGTCTCAAATAGCCTCTTACAACTCTCCAAGCTGGAGTATGGGCAAAGGTGGAAAACCAGTGTCTCCTAACCAGATGCTTTGTGTAAATGAAGCCCAGGAAGTCAGTCCATCTAGGGGAAGGACAATCCTGAGTTTAAACCTCTGTTGCTTTGTGGTTATATTCAACTGAACACAGAAAATGTTATGGAAGTAAATCCAATCAGAAAATCCAGAGTGGTGTCCCAAAGGCAGTTGGCTGTCAACACTGACAACTTTCAAGCAACTCCTGAAGCCAAGCTGTCACCAAATGTAATGCCCTTTATTCTTTTAGATCTTGTTGGTACAGCCAAGACGGGTGGGGGAATGTGCATGACCTCCATATGACATTGACCAGTCCTGTGCACTGGAGGGGTCACTCCAGTTTCACCACTAAAAGTTTAAATTTTGACCAAACCTATATCTTGTGAGGGATAAATTGATACCTACCTACCTAATAAATACATAAATAAATAAATGTATTCCACAGACAGACTGTTTCACTGTATCACAGCTCATCAGTGTGGTTAGATGTCTGGTTGCCTCTAGCTAGGATTGAAATCCGGCTGATTCGGCATCAGTTAGAGATTCTACCCCTAAGCCATTGGCACATGACAGGGAGGAAGTCGAATTTAAGCATATTTATTTTTTGGATAAACACTTAGTGACTGAGAGAACTCGATTCACTTTATCAAAGGGTTTTGCATTTTTAGTTGTAATAGTCACTGTTTACAAACTCACACTTCCTCCCCGGAGAGCTCAACCAAAATAAATTTTTCAGAAGCATATAAATATATATATATGGTTCTTTTCTGTTCAGGAAATTTTATGAATGAACACACACACACACTCTCTCTCTCACTTTCATTGATTTAAAAAAAAAAAATATTTTTATTTAAATGAAGTGACAAAACATTGTTGTTGGCTTTTTTATATTCTATTTCTTTTGTTGTTTTTGTTCTTTCAGCCAATTTCTGTTAGACAAAAATGAAATTGAGTGTTTAGATTTCATAGCCTGTGGTATAAGTGGTTCTGTATTTGTCGGCCAGTATGGAAAACAAAATGTGGCACTGAAATTCTACCAACAAATGACCACCTTGCATACTTCTAAGGAGAGTCGTGGAAGTTCTTTGCAAAAGTCATGGAAACAGAAAAGTATTAAAAAATTGGTTGATGCCAGAGACTTCAAAAACAGCGTAAAGGAATTTATTGAAGGAAAATTGGTTTGTAATTTTTTTTAATCTTTTTTTAAAATCAGTCTGCAGATACTATTATTAATTAAAGCTTGTATTTGACAGCATATATAGTATTATGAAATTATGCTAGGTACAAGTACTGACAGTGTATAACATCTGGATAAACATTCGCCAACCAGATATTTTTTCCTGATATTTATATCTCAGATATCTTTCCAGATATTTATATCTCACTTCACAGAGTGAAGTGAGATATAAATATAGTCAACAACATCTGAGTAAGCATTAGTCTATAAGAGGACTAAATGTTGCATGTAAAACTTGGGAAATATTTTTTTGAGTCATTTATTGGGGAGAAAAAAAGGAAGTTGGTCTTAATTTTATACAGTATAGTGTAATGGAAAAATTACAATTTTTGTAAAAGTTTAGCAAAGCATCATTTTTTGACAAAACAAATTTATTTTTCTGTGACTATGGTCATACAACATATTTAAAATGTTCTTGCATATTGTTGGTCACTGTTGGAGATCACAGCTTTCTGTTACAACCTACCTGAGCAGGTAAGACGGTTATAGGATAAGGGATAGCCCCAATTCTCACTCACAGAATTCTATCCTCTGTCAAGCAAAATGCCTGTAAGAAGACATTTTGTTTATATAAATGTTGATGAGACAAAGCATAAAGAGAGGTAGTTATGCCTTTCCCAAAGGTATTAGTTCTAAATAAATATAACCTGTCTTAAGAGACTAGCAATGAAGGGATATGGATTCATGCCTTTTATGAGTTCATTAATGCTGGTTGAACATGAACAATCTCAACCAGCTGGCAATGGGATCAAAATGAAGCAATGTGAATTCATGGCTTTTCTAAGTGTATAAGTGCTAAGTAAACATAAGCTGTATTAGCAAATGCTAATGCAACAAAATGAAGGGATGTGGATTCATGCCTTTCACGAGTTCATTAGTATTGGCTTGAACATAAAATCAGCCAACTGGCATTGGGTCAAAGTGAAGGGATGTAGATCCATGCCATTCAAGAGATCATTAGCACTGGTTTGAGCATCAGCAGACTGGCATTGGGTCAAGGTGAAGGGATGTAGATTCATACCTTTCACAAAATCATTAGTGCTGGTTTTAACATAACATCAGCCAACTAGCATTGGGTCAAAGTGAAGGGATGTGGATTCATGCCTTTCATGAATTCATTAGTACTAGTCTGAAATTTGAACCTAGTTCAATACTGCAGAATGCTTCCCATATGAAAGTTTTGAAAATGCTAACATGAGAGAAATTTACATCTTGTTTTATTCATATTTGTTTGAAAGATTTACTTTTTAATGTAAAAAAAGGACTATTTCTAAAAGTATGAATTTATTCAGTTCTTTCTTTTTGTTTATATTTCAGTTGCTGCAGAAGCTTCATGAATTACAACATGAAGTTTTGTTATTGAGTCACCTGAAACACCCTTGCATCATTTCACTGGTTGGTTTTATCCTTCGACCTCTCTGCCTGGTTTTGGAGTTGGCCCCAATGCGTAGCTTACGCCTTGTAATCAATAGCCACATGAACAAGCACAATAAGCAAGAAGTTTTATTTCCTAAGATGTTAACCTACAGAATTCTCCTTCAGGTAACTGCTGCCCCCAAAATCTTTTGTTAGATTTATATTTGTGTGTAGTTATAGGGTTGCTAGGCTGTATATCTTGTCTGTAATTTTGAGAAGAGTCATCATTCTTAGAGGTATTTGGACAATGCAACCTATTTTTTGTGTTATTCATGTTCCTGCAATGTTTTGGTTGATAAATTCTACAGCCTTCTACAAAAGATGGGAACTCTTTTTTTTTTCTATTAATGCAAAATAGACAGCACAAGATGTTGTTATAATAACAACAAAAATAAGGCCAATAGCCTGAGTGTAAATAATGTAAATAATATTTTACTTTTAGTTTACTATCCAGGATTGATTGTTTTTTTGTTTTTTTATAGATTATCAACCCTTTGTGAGTTATTTAAATCCAAAATATATTTTAGATTGTAAGGATAATTTTTTTTATTTTTTTCTTCATGCAAGTGAATATTGCATAAACAATTTTTTGGAGAATAACACTGATTTTTCCAGATACAAGTCCTACTATTTAACTCATAGCATTATGGCAAAATGAAAAGAATTATTAGAGAATTAATGGAAATATCTCTATCTCATTTTTAAATTGCAGACAATACACTGAATTTTGAACCCCAAAATATTAATATATATTAATAGCAGTGTCAAGGGAATAACTGTCCTTTTGACACACCCTGTTTTGGTGGGGCACAAATGTTATACATAGCCATTTTTTCATTCTTGATATTAGAGAACATGAGATGGGTGTGTCTTTACTAATCAGATGTCAGTTCTATAGAAAAAGATATTTCTGAAGCTTTGCTTAGTAGGGTGATTGTGTGGCACTTGTGGGAAAATTCTCTTGGTGGTGAATTGAGATTCTAGAGGGCACTTAGCTCTGGTCATATGGCTTCTATCTGGTCAAGGAGAGATGTATTGAAACTGACAATTTTCAGGCATTATTTGAAACTGCTTGCAGATCTCAGGAAGTAAATAAAACAGCATTTAACTGTATTCCCCCAAAAATGTTTCTTTAAGGGTGGTGACTTGTTCTCTTTTTTTTTTTTTTTTTTTTTATTTGTTCCACCCCCAAGCAAGGCAGAAATGCCACTAGTACACAGGGGTTTACAGGGAGGATTGAGGAAAGGACAAAAGGTGAACAGGATTCAAGAAGACAGAAGATGACAATTGATGTTGCATTTAAATTTTTGAAGATTGTAATTATCAGGAAAGCAAGTAAACAGAAGAGAATTCCACAGGTGGGAAGTGCGAGAAAAGAAACTGTTGGAGTAGAAGTGGCAGTTGCATTTAGGTATTTACCATATTTTTGTGTGTTTTATACGACTTGAGTATAATATAAACCTGGTTTCCAAATGACTGCCCACTGATTTCCAAAGAACAAATACTTCCAACATGTCAAATGCCTTTTCTGAACAATTGTTATCAACACCTGCTTACTTTGTGTTTTACTATCTGTGGTGCTAAATGAGTGGATTTACAATCTTGCTTTTTCAAATATGATGATTTTTTAAACCGAGTAAAAAGTTCTGAAAAAAAGTGAACTGGCATATAAAATGACCCACCCACTTTTTTGCTAGTAGATAAATAAATCCTGGAAGGGGATAACCATCAATTGTCAATCATGATGCTTTAAAATGTAAGGTAGAGAATTCAATGACCAACACTTGAAGACCTTCAAAAGAGTATCATCAGAAGACACTCTTTATATAGAAGAGTATGTAAGATTCAAAAATATCACAGAGACTCTCATGAGTTTACTCTTATTACTGCCTAATAAAAAGGTAGGGATGTTTATTTATTTATATTTTTTTGTAGAAAGTTTCTGAACAATTCCTCACCCCACCAAATTTATTAAGACGACTATCTTCATTAATTAAATATATGAGTGATGTAATGGATAGCAGCTCAGCAGGAAAAATCAGAGAGCTGAGGTCAAGTTCATTGCATTCACTTATATCCAAATACCCTTCGTTTCTCAGCTATTGGTTAAATGGTTGAGTAGATGGGGTGCTTTAGCTGTGGTTGGTAACCAGTCTAGAAGATGGAAAATTCTGAATTCAAAACTGATTGGTCATCGTGTTAACAACTCCATCCTGTAAAAACCTACTACTTGCTATGGAAATCTCTGGGAGTTTACAGACTTGAGAGCTGTGATCCCATATTCCTCAGAATGTCTACTGGACTTGATTGAGTTCATTAATTTCTCACTTTTCTACAGAGGTCAAACAGGAAAAACTAATTATTATCGTTGGTTCAAATTTTTACTTGTGCACTTTTATAATTTTCTGAACAAGTTTCTTCTTTTTTTTTTTTTTGTAATCATTTCACCCCAAGCAAGGCAGTAATGCCACTAGAACACAGGGGGTTACAAGGAGTGAAAGTGAAGACTGAGAATAGAGAGGATTGATGAAAGGACAAAAGCTGAATAGGATTCAAGAAGACAGAAGATAGTGGTTGACATTGCATGTAGATTTTTGAAGATTGTAGTTATCAGGGAAGCAAGTAAATGGAAGGGAGTTCCACAGGTGGTAAGTGTGAGAAAAGAAACTGTTGGAGTAGAAGTGGCAGTTGCATTTAGTAATTTCAACAGAAAAACGGTGTGACATAGTTGCTAATCTAGTAGCACACTTAAATTCATGTAGATGGGGCACCAGGGAAAATAAAACTCATCAGAGCAGTTGCCATGGAAATTGTGTAGAAAAGACAGAGGGAAGCCACACTGTTGAGAAAATGATTGAAGTCGAGATGCTTGGTCAGGAAAAATTACATTACACATCCTTCTTTGGATTTTGTCAAGAATCTCTAGAGGTACATCAGGAGTACCAGACTAGATATGGCAACAGTATTCAATGTGTGGACAAATGGTAGATTTATAAATGACCAAGATGGATTCTAACAAGAGAGATTTTCTGAGATGATACAATGAACCAACTTCCCATGCAGTAGATGAAGCAATTGATTCAATATATATATATATATATATATATATATATATATATATATATATGTTAGGTTTGACACCAAACTTGTTCACAGAATTTCTTGTACTATCTGATAAGATGATAGTACAGGACTGTCTTTTGTTGTTATGTAAATCATGCAAGTCATTATTTAATTTATGCAAGTTTTTTTGCATATAAATTAAATTGTGCTAAGGCTTCTTCCTATGCTGTTATCTTATTAGAAAGTCCTAGAGACAGTGTTGGATGCTACAGCAGTAATGCTTCTGAAAAAACATTTCTTTAATTCTAGATTTTTCACACTTTAAATGATTTTCCAACTCCCTCTTTTATTAAAACTCCCCCCCATTTATTGCATCTTAAGAAAAAGCACACCCCTATTATGGCCTCCCCAGTATTAGGCACCTAAGAGTACACATGGATTAAGAAATAAAATTACTATTAAACACATCTCAATATCTGTTAGGAACATGAAAAATAAAGTGGGTTTTGGTTTTGTTTGCAAGAAATTTTATTTTTGACTTGGAAAATTAATTTTTATTGCTATGAAAATTTCAGATTGCAGAAGGAATGAACTACCTTCATCAGAAAGGAATCATTTACCGAGATCTAAAGACTGATAACATTTTAGTTTGGTCACTAAATTTGGATTGCAAAGTTAATATAAAACTTTCCGATTACAACTTTTCAAGATACACCATGTCAAAAGGTATGATCACAGCTGCTGGCACCCCAGGCTACCAAGCTCCAGAAATATTAGCTAAACAAATTTACAATGAAAAGGTCAGTAAGTTTTTTCTTTTTCTAATGATTGATGTGAAAGTCTTTTCATTAATAAATATATATATATATATATATATATATATATATATATATATATATATATATATATAAAGTAGACTGCTGCTTAAAGCATTTATTTTAGATATTTAATATTTGAAATGACATAATCTTCTCTCTCAATGCACTTAGTTCAATAGTGAATATAAATTATATAACTCAAACATAGTGATATGGATATAGAAAATATTGGAACAAAATTCAGCCAAAACTTGAGGATCCACCCTCAGAATATTTTTCTCCAATATAGTAATAGCAACAGAGTTGTCAGAGGCTAGTAATATTTCATTTGAGACAGAAGTTGCTGGCTGGAAAATAATTCATCATTCAGAAGGCTGTGTAATTGCTTTTGAAATCTGTTAGGGCTGGACAGTGAGGACTGGGCAATACCTGCTTGGATATGGCAGCAATACTTCATTCTTGCTCTGATCTGACACACATGAAGAGATTTACACTTATGGCCACAGCACATTGAAGCACCAGTTCTTGTACAATCACTGAAGGTAAGCAACATCAAGCCTGGTCAGTACCTAGATGTGTGACTGCTTAGGAATACCAGGTACTGTAAGCTTTGATGTGTGGGTAGTGCAATAGATAATGGCTTCAAATTCTTAATTGGAGAGCTCCCATTCCCATAGGGTTCATTATATTTACTTACATGCAAATACCCTTAGGAAAGGTATGAATCTATCTCTTCTCCCCCAGTTGTGGGTTAATTAGTAAAACTTGTATCACTAAACCACTATTATCCCACCCCAAAAATTTTAGAATCTAAAAATATTTTCTGGCTTTAAATAACCTGCAAAGGTTGATAAGCCATAAAAAAATAAATAAATCAATCAATAAAAAGAGATTTACAATAATAGAACAATTATAAGAATATACTCTAATAGAAATTACACTAAAGTTCCAAAGTTTGAAGCCACCCCCAGAATTAACATGGGATGAACTTGACAGAAGAGTAAAAAAAAACAAAGTGTAAAAGAGGTCATTCAAAAAAGAATAGAAACAATTATCAAACTTATTCTTTGAGAAAATTTTGCAACGAATGCCAAAAATTTGTACTGCAGTAATCAAAGCTAAAGGAGGATATTTTGACATGAGCAAAATTTAATGATAAAATGCTTTTTTTTCTTTTTGTCATAATAAAATTTTTAATAAGAAAAATCATGTCTCACTCTTTTTAGCTATGTATAATAATTTTCTCTTATTCAAAGTACAAAACAAATACTTTTGGGGCCAATTTAAAAAAATTACCAGGAGTGACATCAAACTTTTGAACTATAGTGTATATAATAGAACATTTCTTTTTACTATAGATCTTAGCAACATGGGTGTATGATTTTCTTTTCTTATTAAATAGAGAATTTTTCCTTTTTCCCTTGAAAGAAGCACTTTACAATTTGTATTAAATATATCCAAATTGACAGCATTACCTGTATTTTTGTCTTTTACAGGTTGACATTTATGCATGGAGTATGGTTGCTTATGAGGTTCAGTCTGGTTTAATATCATTTCACAATTTGCAGTCAACATTCAAAATTTCAGAAGCAGTATTGGCAAAAAAGAGACCAAGTCTAAAAGTAAGTTATTTAATTATCTACTGTATTTGATGGCATTTCTGGACACCCAACAAAACATTATACAAATATATTAAAGTATTATCAGGTTCGGCAAGTAGTCTATGGTATCCAGGTAAACATTAGCCTTCCAGATATTTCCACTTTGTGTATAAGGTATGTTTGATCAATTTTTGGAGGTAGAAAAGTTGAATATGCTATCAGAAGTACTAGGAAGAATGGTTTCAGAAAATTTGGTCTTAGAAATTATGGAAATATTATATTTAAAAAAAATTAATTAAAAGGATAAGAATTAATTCAATTATCAAGTTTTAATGAAAATAGTAATTTCAAAATAAGACAAATGACATTATTTACATTATTCGGACTATTGTCCTCATCTTTGTTGCCGTATTTATTACAATGTTTTGGCCGTTGTACGCTCCGGCCTTCTTCAGGTGGTTGGAATGTCGAACTGAACCCTTTATTTTGTTCACTGGGTGTGGTGTGTAACGCAACAATTCAACTGATGATAACAGGTAGGCACAAAGAAACACGGTGTCGCACGTCCAACCTTCTCACGAGCTGAAAGCCCTCTCGTCTGAAACAGCAAAAACGAGCCTGCTTTATACAGCCACGGACCGACTATGATTTGCATGTGAATGATGAGACAACGAGATTTCGCGTTAACTAATCGAGACCGCCCGGCATAAAATGTGGGTGCCGCCATTTTGGTTTTTCTTTTACCGTTGGAAGGACCAGAGTTTGCATACTGCGCAGATTCGAACGCGTTTCCGAGGTAAGCCATTTTCACAATTTTCCCCACACTGGGGTAGACTGTTCTAGTTCCACATGCCATGTTTAATGGATGTTGGTTATCACTTATCTCCTGTTAATTTCCCTCTGAAAGTTCTCCACTTCCTTAACCGGATATTGAAGTGGCAGGACTCAAAGAGTGTGAGTGTGAAATTAACTGATAACTGACATCCATTAAACATGGCACCTGGAACACGAACAGTTTACCCCAGTGAGCGAAATAAAGGTTTCAGCTCGACATTCCGACCACCTAAAGAAGGGTGGAATGTACAACGGTCAAAACGTTGTAATAGATATGGTGACAATGATGAGGACAATAGTCCGAATAATGTAAATAATGTACATAATACCTCATCTCAGAAATATAGACATATACTAAGACAAATGAGTCTAAGAAAATTTGGTCTCAGAAAGTTTTAAAAATTTAATTATGAATTTGAAGTGATGACTTTAAGTTATGTGTAATGACTTTCAAAATAATAAGTTTATCATTTCCATCATAGGATTTTTTAATGTGAGAATCAATTCAGTTATATGGGGTTATCTGCTTTTTTTGCCAGTTGTCCCCTTTTTTTGTGCCAGCATAATTTTTGTTTGTGTGTAAGTTATTTTCTTTTCAAAGAACATCAATGAATTTCCAATTTTTAAGGAACTTAAAAAAATATTTTTTTTAATTTGAAGTAACTCTATATTTTATTTAAAATTGGCATTTACTTTATAAGCAAATATTGAGACTGAATTTTCTGACCACCATTTCAAAAGATGCTGAAAATGTCCCTTCAAGATGTGTTCAGTCATGGCTCTCTACAACTTCCTATCCTTTGTAGCTCTTAGTAAGGTTTCTCTTTTCAGCCATCCATTTATACAAGCTCGTTAGGTAGGTTACTCACTGCTTTCCTTTGTTCCTCTTGCCTTCAATATATCCTGTGTTAACAAACTTTCCAGGCCCTCTTTCCTCATTATGTGTCCTAAAGATTTCAATTGTTTCTTTCTGATTCTAAGTGTAAGCATTCTTTTTTTGTTTGCATTTTCTTTAAAACTTTTCATTAATTGTATGTTCAGTTCAAGGGATTCTCAGCATCCTTCTGTAGAACCACACTTTTTTTGCTTTAAGTCTCCTCTTCATCTGTGATCAGATTATCTAGCATTAACTGCTATATAAGAGGATTGGTATTGCATAATAGTTCAGTATTCTTTTCTTTGTTTCTAATGAAATTTTCCTGTTTCTTAATACTTTCTTAAGCTTTTGAAAGGCATCTTTTGCTGTTCCAATGTACCTTTTTGGATTTCAATTTCATATTTTCCATCCTCTGTTATACCCTTCACAAAATGTCACCAAATATTATATCTTTCTTTTCCTTTCTTTTGAATCAGCAAAATAAATCACATTAGAGTAGGTAAAGGTTATCAGCATAGGAAGTGGAATTTGGTGGTGCTGAGTTCAAATTCTAACCAGGTCATTTATGTCCACATAACACTAACATTCTTGGAAAAGGCATGAATACATTTTTACTCCACTTATGGGTTAAATAACAAAATAGATTGGGCTCTCTTGCTTCGGGTAGCAGTCAATCTAAGAGAAAGAAAACTTTGAATTCAAACTGCTGCCATGAAGTGTGAGAAGGTGTTGTGTATGATACACCTAATTTACATAAGCGGACTACCGACCATATAAATATGGGTTGGTACCGGAAGACGGGGAAGATAGTAGAGATTAAGAAATTGAATCCAGAGACTCTGCCCGACTGCGATTTAGTCAACCCATTATGCAGGAACAGTCTTCCCAAGAATATACCAAACTAACTGTAAATATTGTGTACCTATTCTTTGTTTCAATACCTTTTGTTAACGTACATTTTGTGTTGTATTATTCCATGCTTATTTAAGCTTCAACAGAAGGGCTTTCTTTTTTTATTATTTTACTCCATACAAGGGAATAAAGTCACTGAGACACAAAAGGTTACTGAGTGTGAAAGAGAAGTGAGAACAATAAAAGAGGAATCAAGAAGACAACTGATAATGATTGACATTGCATTTAAGTTTTTGTAGATCAAAGTTAGCTGGAAATCATCGAATTAAGAGTTTCACAAACAAAAATTGCAATTGAAGAAACTGTTAGCATAGAACTTACAGTAACATCTAACCAATTCAACTATAAATTAATGAGACATTGTTGCTAATCTCGTACTGTGCTTAAATCCGTAAAGTCTTGGTAATAGCAGAAAGTTTGGTTGGTTCATTCACTGTAACTGATTCTTCATCAAATAATCTGGATTTATTTTGCTGCTGTACTTTTTGGGATGTGAATATTCCAAGAAGGTGGGTATGGACTTGTGCATCTTCTTACTTGCCTAAAAATCCATTCACACACATGCTACTCATTGACGGGAACTGTCAGCATTCCTTGGAATGGAATGTGTTTTTATATCATTTTCAATAAACTAAAAGAACCTCCCAGTATAAAAATTGTTTTAACTTCCTCTGCGAATGAAATTTCTGATAGCAAAATTAAAAATTGGTAGATGTTAATTTAATGAATTGAGTTATTGGTGCATTTTCAAATATCAATTCATTACATAATAAAATATAGACTTGTTAGTTCAGTTATGTGCCATCCGTGATACACGCTTAGGCGATCATGTATCTTTCGATACATGACTGACGAATCAGAATTTTTCCTGCAGTAGACCAGTTACCATCCAGTGCTATAGAAACTGGTCTGTTCTGCTATTTACCCATAGCTGGGAGGAGGAGAAGAAGATTTATACCTTTTCCAGAGGTATTAGCATGTAAGTGAATATAATGGATTTGACTGGAATTCGAACTTAGCTCTCCAATTCCTCAATCCAAGACATTATCCATTACTCCACTGTGCCTTCTCTAGACTTGTACTGATTCCTAATTCTGAATGTTTTTTTTCTTTTATATCTGCCTTTGAGAGCAAATGTTTGAATTCAAATATTTCATATTTTATCTTTGAAGATGCTTGAAATTGAGTCTAGATTTCCTTGTCTCGATGAACTAATGATACAGAGCTATGACCATTCCCCGTCAAACCGGCCAACAGCTTTGCAAATTGTTTCTACTATGAGAAAGATGTCTTTTTTGTTCCTCAAAAATATCATTCTAGAACCATTAACCAACAACAGTCTTGATGCTCAATTCCTTTTTGATAATGACAAGGTAAACAACACATTTTTCTTTTATTCTTTCTGCTAATTCAAATTAACAACAAATAATAAATGTCTGAGATAAAATGCATAAACCAAGAGAAAATTAAATTGATGCTGTCATGTTTGGTAGCAGCTAGTGATCTTTCTTTGCTAATGATCTTCAAGTTTAATCTATGTAGAAAATTGTTGCAAAGCTCTCCTACAGTAGAATGAACTCTTTCTCCTTGCATAAATACTAACTGCGGGACTTCCTAGGGGTAGAGTCGTAGGGGAGCTGAGATGCAGTGTTAACCTACCATTCAGACGTACACCTATATTGGCTTATTACTAACACTCTTGCTTTGTATATATCTGTTATTTCAATGCACTTGTTCAACATACCGTCGTCTTCCGTGTCTTTCTTTATGGCCTCTAAACAGGCCACAACAAAAATACAACCCGTCTCCCTTTTCTTATTCATGCAGAAAAGCTCTCTGCTCAATTAAAGAAGGGATTAAAAAAATTATGTTACTTGGTCAGATTTTAGGATTGGGATGAGGAATTTTCAACAACTTGTAAATATATTTTATAAATTATAATTCTGCTTTGGAACAACGTGACAGCTAGTTAAAGATGTTATAAACATAATTTTTACTTACCATCTTCTTTCTCTTCAATTTTTTATTTTTTTTTATTTTTATTTTTATCATTTCTGATATTGGTAAAATTAAATTCAATATATATCTTTTCCTGTCAGGGTCGTCAAATGATTTGGTTATGGGAAGGCCAAAATGAAAAGCGCAAATACTACATAATTGATAATACAAGCCAAACTGTTATGCACTCTTCATTGTTTCCTGGAAGTCAAGTTATTTGCCAGATAAACTTCAACAAAAGGATTTGGTTGGCAACACAGGTTTGTCATGAAAATCAGTTTTAGTTTTGAATCTCTCTTCAAATATTAACAAAACATCAAAAAAAACCTTTTAACTTGTATGTTTCTGGCATCAGTTTAAACTAACACCTTCTTTTGTCAGCTCAACAAGATGTTTCCATGACAACTAGAATCTTGGTCTCTTTAAGTCCAGAGTCAACTGATATCTATCCTACTTGTCCTCATAATACTCTCTTACTTCCTCCTTCCTTACATCCTGGGTATAATGATAAACTACATCTGACAGCAAGGCCTCTGTTCGGGAGGTTTTGAAAAGTGTGGAACCACTTCTTAACTGCTGTTGTTCCAAGGTTCACCCTGACCTGGAGTGGTAGCACCTGTTAGGGTCCCAAAACCGAAGTCAAAACACTATGAAAGTATAAAAATAGATTTTCATATTAAAAATACCAGCAATACATTCTTGAAAAAAAAAAAAATATTACCAGCAATACATTTGACTCTCAACAAAAACCCTCTTGACAAAAATACATCAATGAAACCTGGTCTACACACTGATTTCTTACAAAGAGATACATATTCTATTCATATGAACCTATCCTAAAGATCTTATCAGCATTAAATAACCTGTTGAGTTTGATATGCTATAAAACAAAATAAACCAAATCTCCTTCCTTACAGTCTCACTCAGTAACCTCCTACTTTGAGTGGTACTTGAACCTTGTTTGAGTGAACTATCAGTAAATAAAAAAAATAATTTATATTACAATGAATCATTCATACAAAAAGTATTTTGGAGAGTGAAAATTTCTCTGGAATATATTGGGAAAAAAAAATGCAAGTATTTTTGATGGGTCCTGGAAAAAAAAAATGCAAGTATTTTTGATGGGTCCTCAAAAAAAAAATGCAAGTACTTTTGACGGGCCCTCCAGAAACTATTTTATATAGTTTCCATGCCTGATGATGACCGGAGAACTTGTCGAAAGTACTTGCATATTTAAGGAAGACCTAATACAGTTTATAATTTTAAAAAACAAGGATCATAATCATTCATCAAATAGTGGGTTAATGCATTTTTAAAATTTAGTTAGTGAAGCGATTTTGCTATTTTATATCATTAACTTTACTAATTTACTTTTTGTATGAATGATTCATTGTAATATAAATTAAACTGCACCACATATTTGATATATATATATATATATATAGTGGCTGTTTTGTTTATTTCGCATAAAAACATTTTTTTCCAATATATTTCAGTGAAATTTTAACTCTCCAAAATTATACTTTAGATCTATGGAAAAAAGGTGTCAGAGGATATAGGTTAAAGTAACCCCTTTTCTTTTCTCAATAGTCTGACCATTGTGCTTAAAGTTTTTTTTTTTTTTTTTTTCTTGGAAATTTTCACTTTCCAAAAATAGAAAATGAGTGTTTAAACTTGACTCCAAGAGAATCTGCATTATAATCTAAACTTCCATGAAGACTGTTAACCAAAGCTAAAAACAGAGGATGTGCAATTGTGCATGAATGAAAGGCAAAAGCAACAAACAGTTTAACAATGCATCTTGCACATTTAAAAATCTACTATTCAGCCATGCATTGAATATTGTTCCAACAAAATAGCACAACTTTCCATTAAACTTTTTTCTGGGAACACTTGTATCACTTCCAGATACTCTGTTAACCCTTGAACTTGCCAGATTGTGGGAAAATGACAGACCAATGGGATAAGAGAAACCAGGTAGTGTGTGTCTAGTGCAATTAAGTTTGCATTCCAATATGCTTCTGTTGGGAAAAGTTTGATTAACACAGCCCAGTAGAAAAATTTACATAGCAATTTCTTTCTTTTATAATCATTTTATCCCAAATGAGATGATAATGCCAAAAGCATGCATTGAGAGTGAGAAAGAATGAGAAAACTTTAGTGAGGAGAAAGGACAATAAAAGAACAGGATTCAGGAAGACAGAAGATTGACATTGTATTTCAATTTTTGAAGGTTGTAGGTATCAGGGAAGCAAGATATCAGAAGAGTTCCACAGGTGAGAACTGCAAGAAAAGAAACTATTAGAATGAAACCTAGTTGCCAATCTAGTTGTACGCTTAAATTCATGCAGTCCAAAGAGAAGGAGAGCTCATTGGAACATCTACCATGAAAATATTTATAGAAAAAGACAAAGGGAAGTTGTCCAATATATAGATAATAGGGTTTAAATCTGTATTATAAGTTGCAATCCTCCATCAGGGATTTTGCTCTGCACTGACAAGGGTATTCACCTTACACTGACAAATGGTTATTCATACTCAACAGCAAAATGGTAATGCCTCTCTAGTCTTCTTAAAGCTTGTGTCTTATTGATTCATTAGAGTAACCATAGATCTGCTGTGCAAAGCGCCACCATTCCTATGCAGATTCCAACTGTACCACTGTGCGTTCTCTCTGTTGTTTCTATAAATATTTTCAATTGTTCTTATGAGCTCTCCTCCTTAGTACGTCAATTGCATGAATTAAATAGTACTACTAGATTGGCAATTAGGTCTCATCATTTTACTGTTGAATTAACTAGATGTAACCCTAAATTCTATTCTAATAGTTTCTTTGCTTGCACTTCTTACCTGTGGAAATCTCTTCCAGTTTCTTGCTTTCCTGACACCAACAATCTTCAATAATTTAAATGCAATGTCAGTCGCAGTCTTCTGTCATACTGAATCCTGTTCTTTTATTGTCCTTTCTCCTCACTAAAGTCTTCTCATTCTCTTTCACTCCCAGTAGCCCCACCCTGTGCATTAGCGGCATTATCACCTTGCTTGGGATGAAATGATAAAAAAAATGTTTTTTTAAAATTTCCTTTTTAAAGCCATATAAATATCTAAATCATTTCCAAAACAAATGCTGTTATTTTTTTTAAAGTATATTTCAAAAGAAAAAATAATTCAAGTTTTTTTTTATTTCTGTAACTTGTTCTAATGCTATAATTTTCTGTTTTTAAGAATGGAGAAATTGAAATCCTTGGAATTCAAAATCAAAGATTTTGGTTGGAAGTTATTGAGACATTAAAACTTCCATGTACAGCAATGGTTATGCTATCACAGGTAGGTTGTGTATTTATATTTACAATTTTCATTTTGTTTTTCTATAAAATGAAATGAATGAGTTCAAATAATTTTTTAATCTGAATTTTGGAAAGAGAACAAAATTTCTTACTGCTGATGAAAAAGATGGTTTCATTTTATCATCAGTCCAAATATTTAAAGAATTTGAATGAACATCTTTGTTCAAACTTCTGCTATTTTATCTATTTTTGAAGTAATAAATAATCTATAGTCTACCTCATGTCTAAGATAGTTGTGCCTTTTTTTTACACACTAAAAAAATAGGACTTTGAATGTTGATTTTATTCGTAGACCATTTGGAAGATTGATGCAATGTGGTTTTCCTACCTCATCTAGCCTTGTGTCAGTAAAGTTAGTAAATATCACTAAATACTTCTTTTCCAGAAAGTTATTTCCATTATTGTTCTTTTGGAGTTAAAAAAAATTGTAATTTACTTTTTCTTTTAAAGAGGAAAAAAATACAATTACTATGAATTATTGATACACAAATGCCAAAAATTTTGTTTTGCAAAATATATGACAGTTAATTTGTTTGGAGAATGAATTCTAGTTATGAACCCTAAAGTTGTGTGAAAAAAAGTTTGATTTGCTCACAATTATCATGGAAAAAAACAAAAAACAAAACAAAAAAAAGCTTTTAAATATTCTGAAATAGTTTCTCTTAGTAAATATCAACAAATACTTTTCCAGAAAATTATTTCCATTATTGCAAAAAAAAAAAAAAAAAAAACAGCTTTCAAATATTTCTGAAAATAAGAAATACAATTTTTTCTTGTACCTTTATTAAATGGCATTAAGAAATAGAGAATATAAAACATAGAAAAATTATTTGTATGTCTACTTAAAACTTTAAAAAGTATTTATATGTTAAGATGTTTCCCCCCATGTGTGGGTAAGTCTTATAAATAAAAACAAAAGGACAACTTATCTTAGCTGACATATTTCATGCTCTGATGGATTTTATTAAGGCAAATGCAAGGATTTTATTCTGTAACAAGTTTTACAGAGCAAAAATGTTATTGATTTTTCAAAATTTTAGATTTAAGAACACTCATAAATATTCATCAGTACAGATACTTGTTACAAAATGAAATCCATGCATTTGCTTTGATAAAGTTTCTCAGAGGACAAAATGTGTCAGCTAAGATAAGTTTTCCTTTGTCTTTCTTCATGTTGACCTTTTACAGATATATTCTATCTGAAATTTTTACACATGAATGTTATGTAAAACTATATAATTGCTGTTTTATCATTTTCTGTCTGTGAGCATGTGTCTTATATCTTACCCAACTTAACCTTTGCTATGCTGGAGGCGAATATTGTCATTGTAGAATTCTCTCCCTTTGTTACTCTAGGTGCATTCTGTTGCCTGATACGTTTGCTGTAAATAAACACTTGTCAACTGTTATTTCCAGTATTTTATGCTGGAAATCGCTTACTACTGCTTTGGAACAAAGTTAAACTTCCGTTTTTCAACACCATTTTTAATTCTTCTATACTCTACACAAGGTGTAACATTGACTAAACCCATGTTAATTTTTTGCAATTTTTTTTTGTAAACAAAAAATGTCTGCATCAACATCCAATGAAGCCTTTATTCAGGTGTTTTTGTTTGATTAGGACTCTGCTGATGATGTTGAAGGCTTTATCCAAGTGGATATTGATGGTGAAGTGATTGAAGATGATAACCACACTAGTGATGTGGAAGAAAGCAATGATGACCACTAGCAACTATTATCATCCATGCCTGATTAATTTTATAGAAGCTACTGGCGACCATCAATATACCTGATAGACAAAATAATTCACCTTCAGAAAGGCTATTTATAAACGATGAAATAATAACTTTATTTGTCAACAAGAGGAATAAATATGATAGTCAAGTGAAAGAAAGAGCAAACAAATGCTGGTGTTTTCTTGTTTGTAAACACAAGGAAGCACATGACTTTTTTGATGAAATGAAAGCCTCCTTAGTGATTTTGCTTCTTATTGCACCCCCAGAACTCCACAAGGAGTAATAAAAGTTAAAATATGTTAAATTGTTTAGGTATTTTTTAATGTACAGTAGTACCTCAGTTTTCAAATTTTAGTCATTCCTGAATGCTGTTCGTGAAATGAAAAGTTTGAAAAAGGAAACAATTTTCCCATGTAAAATGGATTAATCCATTGCTGGACCTGATAATTGCTTATTCAAACTTTTACAATAGTATTTTATGTACGAGTACATACACAAAACCAATGAAAATCATTAGATCTAAAAAAAAAAAAAAAAAAGATTTTATTCATCCTTACCTGTGCTGAGAAGTCTTGATGGCACAAGTGGAGGGTGGAGAAGAGGTAGGAAGGAAGGGATGTTATTGTTTGGAAGGGGAGTACCCCCCCCCCAATCCCCTGGATTTTCTGTTTCTTGCCAGCAGATTTTGCCTGGGACTCACTAAGGTTTTCACCAAAAACTTTTCTACTGAAATTTGCTTTTGCCACTGTTTCACAATGTTACAGAAGTGAGATATATCACTGTTATTGAAAAGGTTACTGACACGGCTTGTTACTGCCTTATCAGGGTGATACATTTCAACAAAATATTTCACTTCACACCATTTTGCACACATTTCTTTAATAAGAGCACTAGGCACATACTCCTTCCCTACTCTTCCTCTGAAGGTATCTCCTCAAGTACCTCCTTCTGCTGCTTCTTCTGAAGGAGTTTGAGTTCATCAGTAGACAACTCGATGCTGTGTTTCTCCACCAGCTTTTTGACATCATTACTATTGACTTCCAGGCCCATGCTTTTTCCCAGAGACACAATGTCATTGACAACTTCAGTAGTTTGTGTCTCAAATCCTTTGAAGTCTCCCTCTGCAACATAGTCAGACCAGATGTTCTTCCAGGCTGAGTCACAAAGTCCTGCTAGTCAGTTGCTGTCAGATGTCAATAAGATTTAAGCAATGAAGGATATTGAGGTGCTCTTCCAAAAGTCAGAGAGAGTTAACTCTGTGTCAGAATTAATTTCAAAGCACATTTGAAAAAGTGCTTTGGTGTATAACTTCTTAAAGTTAGAAATGACCTGTTGGTCCAGTGGCTGAATCAGTGAAGTCATATTAGGAGACAGAAACTTCATGGTGATAAAGTCAAACTCTTCCAGTAACTCAGTCGCCATATCTGAGGGGTGGGCAGAAGCATAGTCCAACAACTGCAGGCACTTCACTGGCAAGTTATTTTTATCAAGGTAATCACTCACATTAGGAGTGAAAGCTTCATGAATCCATTCCAGGAAAAACTGTCTGGTCACCTAGGCTTTACTGTTAGCCCTCCACTTGCCAGACAATCTGATTTTTATAATGTTTTTTTTTCTTAAACATATGGCAGTTCTCTGAATGATATACGACCATTGTCTTCACCTGAAAATCACCACCAGCATTGCCACAAAGCAAAAGAGTTAGCCTGTCCTTCATAGGCTTGTGTTCAGGCAGAGCTTTTTCCTCCAGGGTTATGTATGTTCTTTTAGGCATTTTCTTCCAAAACAGTTCAGTTTTGTCACAATTAAACACTTGATGGGGGATAAAACCTTCAGCATTCACATACACACCAAACTCTTTCATAAACTCTTGTGCATCCTTTTTGTTAGCACTTGCAGCCTCTCCATGACGAACCACAGTGTGTATGCCACTTTGTTTCTTAAACTTTTCAAACAAGTCTCGACTAGTCTTAAACACATCATTCTCAGAACTTGTATCTGGGGTTTTCTTGAGCAAATCCTGATGCAAATGCTTTGCTTTCTCATAAATTATTGTCTCCAAAATACTGTCACCAGCCAACTGCTTTTCGTTGATTCAAATCGGTAGCAACTTTTCCATTTCTTCTAATATCTGAGATCTTTGCTTGGTGATCCCAGTCACTCCTTTGGCAACCTTAGCTGCTTTTATTGTTTCCTTTTTCTTAAGGATGGTATAAATCGATGACTTTACTAAGCCATGCTGTAAAGCCAGATCTGAAACACGAATGCTATTTTCATGCTTTTGTATAATCTCTTTCTTCACTTTTATTGTTGTTCTCACTATTTTTCTTTCTGCTATTCCACTTTAACTAGCCTTCTTAGGTCCCATGGTGTCTTATACTGTAAAAAAAATAGAAGAATTAATTCACAACACAAGATATACCAGCAAAATCAGACAACAGTTCTTAGCGTATATACTTTGAGTGAAGGCTGAGGTAGGACTGGCGCCAATCACGTCACATACTCAATCACTCAGTGATCATGTGCTGCCCACATGGTGTTGTTGGTTTGTATGACAACCGAATTATGGTATGGCAACCAGGGCAATTTTTAGTTCGAAATTTTGTTTGACAACAAATTTCAGAGATTGCAAAGACTGAAACGTTGTGATAATAACAATCAAGATGGGGATAAGTGCCTACATGTAAATAATATAAATAACTTTATCATTTAGACACTTTCTTTTTTATATCATATCATTTCAAGATGTAACCAATCATGGCTCTTCACAGATTTCTTTTCTTTTATTATTTGTGAATTACTGTGGCTTCATGAGGGAAAAAATGATGGAATGATTTTCCGTTGCCTTCTCCACATTTATGAATGCAGAGTTGTTTTTTTCTCCTAGACTGGCATCCATCCGAGGCTAGAGAGCCCATTCTTCCCTCTTAGGGTGAGAAGAGATGGATTCATACCTATCCCAAGATGATTAGTGCAAAAGTGAAAGTATCAGACAGTTGAAATTTATATAACCACTATTAACCACTATGCTACCTACACATTTACAAATTCAATATTAACACTGTTCTCATCCCTCCACCCCTCTTTGTCCAAATTCATTATTAATACTTTTCTCCTTCCCCACCCCTCATTGTCCAAATTCATTATTAACACTTTTCTCCTTCCTCCCACACCTCATTGTCCAAATTGATTAACACTTTTCTCCTCCCCCCACCCCTCATTGTCCAAATTCATTATTAATACTTTTCTCCTTCCTCCCACCCCTCATTGTCCAAATTCATTATTAATACTTTTCTCCTCCCCCCACCCCTCATTGTCCAAATTGATTAACACTTTTCTCCACCCACCACCCCTCATTGTCCAAATTGATTAACACTTTTCTCCACCCACCACCCCTCATTGTCCAAAGTCATTATTAATACTTTTCTCCTTCCTCCCACCCCTCATTGTCCAAATTCATTATTAACACTTTCTCCTGCCCCCTGTTCCTCATTGTACAAATTCATAATTAACATTTTCTCCTCCCCTGTCCCTCATTGTCCAAATTCATAATTAACATTTTCTCCTCCTCCTCACCGCTCATTGTCCAAATTCATTATTAACACTTTTCTCCTCCCCCACCCATCATTGTCCAAATTCATTATTAACTCGTACTACTCATGAGAATTTCATGCTTTTTGCTATTTAAATTTTCTGATGAATCTTAATGATTGAATAAGTTCCTTGCAAGTGCTACAAATATAAAATACACATGCAAATTCCCCAATTGCATTATTAAATATTTGTGCTTAACAACTATAAGAAAATATTGCAATACCCATCATAATTATGAATGCAGGTCATTATTTAAAGAAGTAAGAGGGTACAAATGAAAAGGTCTGAAATTAACAAGTTTTCTATTTCACTGAAGCAGACATGAGAGCATTATCACCTCCTCTCATTTCTTTCTTTTTCTCACTGATATCAAACAGTGTCTCTGATATGTCTTTTCCATTTTTCCTTGCAATCAAAATGGAATAGTTGATTATTTATGAGCTGTTGGCAGGGTATAATGGGTTAAGTGTCTAACTTAAAAATCATGGAACAAGCAATATTATAATATGCTTATTTTCTTTTCTTTTTTCTTTTAGGAAGAGAAATGTCGAGTTTATGTTGGCTTGTCAAATGGAGTTCTGATGATCTTCCAAAAGAATTTACAACAAAGTCAAGAACTTGAATCCGTTTCTTCATGGGACAAAACATGTTTAGAACTTTCAGAGTCCTCTCAACCTCTGTTGACTTTGGTAATTATTCAAAATGAACTTTGGGTGACATCTGGTCAAAATATTCACATTGTCTGTCTGGAAAATTTCAGCATCCTCCAAACGCTCAAGTGCCCCTTCCCCTGCACAATCATCGACAGCGGGTTAGTATCAACCAAACAAATCTTTTATCGAATTCAGGATTCTTCAAATGTTTTACAGTTTGACGTCGTTTCTCGACAACTGCTATTTGTCTATGATTTTGGAGACATCAAGATGGTCGGTAAAGTAGCCGAAGCCAAAACCCCCAACAAGATTGATGATGTTGAAGCGGATGATTACAAAGGTGAACAGAATGACTCCTTCGTTCTGTCAATTCTTTTGGTGGATGACGCCTTATGGGTTGGACGTGACATTGGAGACATTTTGATTGTTTCTACAGATAATAGATCTGGTTACAAGAGAGGGTCTGTGATTACTGCCCTGTGTCCAAACTATCTGTTACCTGAAACCGAGCGACTTCTTGGTGCCAACAGCTTAAAAAACTGTACTGATAAGTCTGTATTTTCACTTCTTCAATCAGAGAATGAAAATTTAGTGAAAAGCACGAGGATTTGTTTCTGGGAACAATACAATATTGCTGAACTGCACCAAATCCACACACATATTTCTCAATTGCAGGTTGGGGAGGAAAAAAATCTAAAGTAAACTTAAACTTTTATGGAAATGGAAAAAACTCTGATTTTTATATTTTCAGAAAGACAATTTTCACAATTCTAAAATGAATATTTTTATAAGGCTTTATAATATTTTTGTAATATATTTAATATTATAAAACATTGTTATATATTTTATACACTAAATTAAAAAGAAAAAAAATATTTGTATTACTTAATTGACATTTGATATATACATAAATTTTTTTCAGACAGTGTGCATCTGTAAAGGGGAAAAAATGAATAGAAAAATGAGAGGAAAAACTATTCTGAGCCGACATGTTTCATCCTCTGAGGGTCTTTATCAAGGCAAATGTAGGATTTATTTTGTTGCACATGATTATATATAAGAGCAAGGATGTCATTTCTTTATTGAGACTTTTAAATATGTTCATGAATATTCATCAGGTGGTTGAAAGGTCAGTTGAAACATGTGAAGGATATAAATTAAATATTTTTTTTATTAAAAATCTTACATTTGCCTTGATAAAATCCCTCAGAGGATAAAATGCATTAGCTAAGAATAGTTTTTCCTTGTCTTTTTATTTAAAAAAATATATATATATATAATCAGATAATATAATATATAAGCAATCGGACGTCTAGCCACACTGAAGAGCTGTGATACAGCGAAACAGTCTGTCTGTGGATGACTATATATATATATATATATATATATATATTATAAAGGAGTTGTGTCTGCTTTTTTTGGTATGTATCAACTTATAACTCAGAAAAGAGATGCCACTGAGCATTAAAATTGCACATACACTTTAATGTGTATACTAATGAAAAGTACAATATTTAGTTTTTGATTCTTACTGATTAAATGATATATTTCAATTATTAAAAAACAATCGATTTGTTGAGCTCTCCACAATTATTTTCCATTAAGTACAAGTTCTTAAGAACTGCCATATTTAAACATCACACAAATTCCATTGTGAAAATCTTCAAAGGTAAATACAAAATTTGAATTAATGCTCTCTGAAAATTGTTTTGTAATTTAGTACTGATTGTAAGAAAAAAATTCTTACTTTATTGGAGATCTGAAACAAATCATGAAATATTTAAAAATACTATTTTAAATATAAACGAATAAATAGAATTACTCGAAATTTTACATTTTTAATTCTTAGCTTTTTTTTTATTGTACCTACCCATTGTTATGTTTTAGAGGGCAAAAAAGAAAACAACAAATCAAACAAATATATTGTTTATCATTAACTCAAAAACTGATTTTTTTTTTAAACAAATACTTTTCATTTGAATACAAATAAGGATTCTTTGCTTCGTCTAGTGTTAAATTTTTAGAGGTTAAAGAAAAAAGAATAAAATCAATTAATTTTTAATTGGTGTAACTCTTCTTTTAATTTCTAGGATAAACAAATACATTTCATTTGAATCAATACAGTAAATTTTTCACCTACAAATGACAAATTTTTAATTAACTTTTTATTGTTAAATCTTTAGAGGGTAAGAGAATATAAATTAAAAGAATACATTTTTATCACTGTAACTTAACAACCAAAAAATTCCTAAAATAAAAGAACATTTTAATACGCGAATTCTTAGCTTTTTTTATTGTTAAGATTGATTTTAAAACAGTGTAAAAATCAAACTGTTTTGAAGATACATAATATTTATAGAATGAACAAATACTGAAATGATCCACCTATCAATAAAGACACATTTTAATTAACTTTTTATTGTTAGAAATTTAGAGGGTAAAAGAGAAAATAAATTAAACAAATTCACTTTTATCCCTGTAAACTCGACAGGCAATTATGAACTGAACTTAAATGTTTGTCATATGTAAAATAAACAAAAAAAAAACGCTGGCACTCTTAAAGTTTTGTTTTTATTATTATTTTCTTATGTTTAAAAAGAATAAAATAAATTATTTTTTTAATCAGTGTAATTCAAAAACTTTTTTCCTCCTCACTCATTCACTGGTGTTCTTAAACTCTTTTTAATCCAATCTGCTAGTGTGTGTGTGTATAATGAAGAAATATAGTCTTAAGGTGTGCTATATTTATGACATAAAGTGCTCAATATCAGAGATAGAGCATGTATAAATATAAAAGTGAACATAGAACTCAACGCTTAGAGCCTCTAAGTGTTGACATATATATATATAAATGTATGTGTGTGTGCAGAATTGGTATACAAAAAATTCATTGCAACCGTTTTTTTTAAATATTCAGATTGAATACAAAGTTGCAAAGCAATTTTGAATTTTTTCTCTAATCAATGTTGTGTTATTCTGTATTGAGAAAAAGAAAACAGACGAGAGGAAGTGAAGAAGATGATTGATGAAGTCAATGGTGATGATTTAGTTGGAAGCAGTATGTGTTCTAAATGATTTGGGAAATTTTAAAAAGGTCTGTTTGATTTCAAGGACAAGCTATGTAGTGTCAGAATACAAGCTTTTGAAATTCCAGATTTGCAAACCTTTTGGGATGATAAAAGCCCATTTAATGTTGGAATTGGCAGGAAGACATGGTGCTGATGGCACAACAAGAATTGTTAAACATTAGGCAGCATATGATTCCCTGTATTTCATCAAAGATTATCTTTAGAGATATAAAGTGGCTTCACTATGGTCATAGAAAGTCTCACTTGGATCATCATCACAAGATTTGCTATGGTCATCGAAAGTGTCACTTGGATCCTCATCACAAGATTTGCTATGGTCATTGAAAGCGCCACTTGGGACCTCATCACAAGATTCGCTATGGTCATAGAAAGTGTAACTTGGATCATCATCACCACAAGATTCGCTATGATCATCGAAGCGCCACTTGGGACCTCATCACAAAGAGCTATGGTCATAACTTGGATCCTCATCACAAGATTCTATGGTCATCGAAGCGCCATGGATCCTCATCACAAGAAGCTATGGTCATAGAAAGCGCCACTTGGATCCTCATCACAAGATTCGCTATGGTCATAGAAAGCGCCACTTGGATCCTCATCACAAGATTCGGGCTATGGTCATCGAAAGCAACCACTTGGATCCTCATCACAAGATTCGCTATGGTCATAGCCGGCGCCACTTGGATCCTCATCACAAGATTCGCTATGGTCGAAAAGCGCCACTTGGATCCTCATCACAAGGCCGCTATGGTCATCGAAAAGCGCCCACTTGGATCCTCATCACAAGATTCGCTATGGTCATAGAAAGCGCCACTTGGATCCTCATCACAAGATTCGCTATGGTCATCGAAAGCGCCACTTGGATCCTCATCACAAGATTCGCTATGGTCATAGAAAGCGCCACTTGGATCCTCATCACAAGATTCGCTATGGTCATCGAAAGCGCCACTTGATCCTCATCACAAGATTCATATGGTCATAGAAAGCGCCACTTGGATCCTCATCACAAGATTCGCTATGGTCATCGAAAAGCGCCACTTGGATCCTCATCACAAGATTCGCACTATGGTCATGGCGCCACTCTGGATCCTCATCACAAGATTCGCTATGGTCATAGAAAGCGCCCACTTGATCCTCATCACAAGATTCTATATGGTCATCGAAAGCCATTGGATCCTCATGGTCATAGAAAAGCGCCACTTGATCCTCATCACAAGATCCTCATCTTGGATCCTCAACAAGATTCGCTATGGTCATCGCTATGGATCCTCATCACAAGATTCGCTATGGTCATCGAAAGCGCCTACTTGGATCCTCATCACAAGATTTGCTATGGTCATAGAAAGCGCCACTTGGATCCTCATCACAAGATTTGCTATGGTCATAGAAAGCGCCACTTGGATCCTCATCACAAGATTTTACTATGGTCATAGAAAGCGCCACTTGGATCCTCATCACAAGATTTGCTATGGTCATAGAAAGCGCCACTTGGATCCTCATCACAAGATTAGCTATGGTCATAGAAAGCGCCACTTGGATCCTCATCACAAGATTCGCTATGGTCATAGAGCGCCACTTGGATCCTCATCACAAGATTCGCTATGGTCATCGAAGCGCCACTTGGATCCTCATCACAAGATTCGCTATGGTCATAGAAAAAGCGCCCACTTGGATCCCTCATCACAAGATTCGCTATGGTCAATGAAAAGCGCCACTTGGATCCTCATCACAAGATTCGCTATGGTCAATGAAGCGCCACTTGGATCCTCATCACAAGATTCGCTATGGTCATAGAAAGCGCCTACTTGGATCCTCATCACAAGATTCGCTTATGGTCATAGAAAGCGCCACTTGGATCCTCATCACAAGATTTGCTATGGTAGAAAGCGCCACTTGGATCCTCATCACAAGATTTGCTATGGTCATCGAAAAGCGCCACTTGATCCCTCATCACAAGATCTATGGTCATAGAAAGCGCCCTTGGATCCTCATCACAAGATTCGCTATGGTCATAGAAAGCGCCACTTGGATCCTCATCACAAGATTTGCTATGGTCATAGAAAGGTCATTGATCCTCATCACAAGATTCGCTATGGTCATAGAAAGCGCCCACTTGGATCCTCATCACAAGATTCGCTATGGTCATCGAAAGCGCCACTTGATCCTCATCATGGTCATCGAAAGCGCCACTTGATCCTCATCAAAGATCGAAAAGCGCCACTTGGATCCTCATCACAAGATTCGCTATGGTCATCGAAAAGCGCCACTTGGATCCTCATCACAACTTGGATCTTGGATCCATCACAAGATTCGCTTATGGTCATAGAAAGCGCCACTTGGATCCTCATCACAAGATTCGCTATGGTCATAGAAAGCGCCACTTGGATCCTCATCACAAGATTCGCTATGGTCATAGAAAGCGCCACTTGGATCCTCATCACAAGATTCGCTATGGTCATAGAAAGCGCCACTTGGATCCTCATCACAAGATTCGCTATGGTCATAGAAAGCGCCACTTGGATCCTCATCACAAGATTCGCTATGGTCATCGAAAGCGCCACTTGGATCCTCATCACAAGATTCGCTATGGTCATCGAAAAGCGCCCACTTGGATCCTCATCACAAGATCGATTCGGATCTCATCACAAGATTCATGGCGGTCATAGAAAGCGCCACTTGGATCCTCATCACAAGATTCGCTATGGTCATCGAAAGCGCCACTTGGATCCTCATCACAAGATTATTATGGTCATCGAAAGCGCCACTTGGATGGTCATCAAGATTCGCTTATGGTCATCGAAAGCGCCACTTGGATCCTCATCACAAGATTCGCTATGGTCATCGAAAGCGCCTACTTGGATCCTCATCACAAGATTTGCTTATGGTTGGGACTTGGATCCTCATCACAAGATTCGCTATGGTCATCGAAAAGCGCCACTTGGATCCTCATCACAAGATTCGCTATGGTCATAAGCGCCACTTGATCCTCATCACAAGATTCGCTATGGTCATCGAAAAGCGCCACTTGGATCCTCATCACAAGATTCGCTATGGTCAGAAAGCGCCACTTGGATCCTCATCACAAGATTCGCAGGTCATAGGTCATGATCCTCATCACAAGATTCGCTATGGTTGGGACCTCATCACAAGATGGATCCTCGCACAAGATTCGCTATGGTCATCGAAAGCGCCACTTGATCCTCACCACAAGATTCTGCTATGGTCATCTAAAGTGTCAAAAATCATATAGAGATATAAAGTGGCTTCACTATGGTCATAGAAAGTCTCACTTGGATCATCATCACAAGATTTGCTATGGTCATAGAAAGTGTAACTTGGATCCTCATCACAAGATTTGCTATGGTCATTGAAAGCGCCACTTGGGACCTCATCACAAGATTCGCTATGGTCATAGAAAGTGTAACTTGGATCATCATCACCACAAGATTCGCTATGATCATCGAAAGCGCCACTTGGGACCTCATCACAAGATTCGCTATGGTCATAGAAAGCGCCACTTGGATCCTCATCACAAGATTCGCTATGGTCATCTAAAGTGTCAAAAATCATAGGTGAACCTAGGGCTGCCAGAAGCATCAGAAACAAAACCTAATCTCAAAATCCTGATGAAACTATTACTTTTTGAATTTAAGTTTAGAATTTGAAGAAAAACAATGGCCATATAAAGAATAGGGAAGCTGGAACTTAAAAAGTAATCTAATTTGTATTTGGTTATATATGAAAGATGTACTACAAATTGTTGTAGTTTGGTTAAACTGTTGCTCTTCTGTAGTTACATTAATCAATTGCAGAGAAAGAGTCCATTTACAGGAGAGGAGAAACCAGAAAGACAATGTTCATCCACATGTTGCTTTGTTGGGCTGCTCCACCCCCCAAAAAATATATAATAGTTAGGATGAGAAATTCTTCCACATGCCGTAGATTCACCATAATTAGCATCATAACGTTATCCTTTGTTTCAAATAATACAGCATTCCTTACCTGTCTATATTTCCGAGATCAGGTATTGTAATTTGTAACTTACAGTGGATAAAAGTGTTGATTGGATCCAGTGACTTGACCCAAAGTATTGTGAGTTCAATACCTGGTTGTGGCAGTGGTGGACAAAAACTTGGAGAGTTGCATTAAAGGGATAAAACTGAGACATCTGGAAAAGGCATGGCATGTGGAACTAGAACAATCTGTTCCAATGGATTAAATAAAGGCTTCAGTTCAAAATTCCAATCACCTGAAGAAGGTTGGAGTGTAGAATGGCTGAAATGTTGTGGACATGGCAATAAAGATGAGGACAAGTCTGAATAATGGAAATAATTACAGTATTCCTTATATGGTCAAAAATTTAAAGATATTTTCAACAGCCAAAATTTCATTCACAACTTTAAAACCAGAAATGTTTTATGAAAATGGCATTTGAGACCTTTTGCAACATTGCTATAAATTTATTGGAAGTCAAGAAAAATATTTTGTGATTAATAAATGTATGCACTGATTAATTAATTTTAATAATAAATTGCTGGAAACATCTAATATTTATTTTACAGGTTCCAAGTCATTTCATATAGATGTTTAATGAACTTCTTACTATTAATTGGATTTTTCTGATTTTTAAATTATTTTTTTCTATTTTGTTCACTGTGTTAATAAGTTTCACCAACCATGCAAATTTTTGCATTATCACTATGCTATACCTGCAGATTCTAAAAGGAAAAGTTCTTTTTGCATATGTAAATTGCAACTTATTTTTTAGATAGCATTCATTTCAATTGGATGGTAAATAAATTTTTAAGATCTGTTCATATTTCTGAGAAACTATTTTTGTAACTATTTATACTATTGACATTGTTTGGGCTTTATTGTCATATGATGTTTCGGCCATTTTACACTCTGGACTTCTTCCTAAGGACACATGGCCCAGTGGATAAAAGTATTGGTTGAAGTAAACCAGTGACTTGACCCAAAGAGTTGTGAGTTCAATACCTGGTCACACAGCAGAAGTGAACAAAAATGTGGTGAGTTATTAAAGGGAGATAACTGAAACTGACATATCCAAAAATGGCATGGCATGTGGAACTAGAACACTCTACCTCCGGTGGACAAAATAAAGGTTTTGGCTTGATATCACCTGAAGAAGGCCAGAGTGTACAATGGCTAAAAATGTCGTGAATACGAGAATAAAGATGACAATGGTCCGAACAATGTAAATAGTGTAAATTTTTAAGACTTCACCAAAGATAAACACTTGATTGATTTCAAAAGAGTAGAACCAATGTTCCTGTTCTTCAGCTTAGGCTATAAAATATACCAAGAATTATTTTTTGAGATAGAATTTTTTAAATATAATGAACATTACCTTTGTCAAGAACATATTTATTCTGTCTTACACATTTATAAATCTACCATTTGTCCATGTATTAAATATTGCTGCCATATCTGGTTTAGTACTCCTACTATATATCTTGAGATTCTTGAAAAAATCCAAAGAAGTTATCAAAGATGTTATCAGTCTAGACCTGGCATCTTGACTTTAGTCACTTTCCTACTGCTAAAACGTGGCTTCTCTCTGTCTTTTTGACAAATATTTTCATCTCAACCATGGCCAATTACTCCACAAGTAAGAGTAATTGGCAAAATGCTCAACAAACGAAATTGACAAAGTTCTCAATAAATGATAAAATGAAGAAAAAAAAATAGGGCAAAATAATACTAAGCAAGCAATAGCATTTGACAGGGTTTAGCATGCAGGTAAAAAGCAGAAAAGTTATAGTATCTCAAGACAAATTTCTGAACTGGTTCAATCTTTCCTATTGTGAAATGAAAGTAATCCTGAATGGCCACTCTTCCAGTTCCTTTTGTACTAATGCAAATGTCTTCTAGGGCACCGTCTTTGATCTTACTTTGTTTTTGTTTTTCATTAATGACCTTCCTGATGTCAGCTCTAAGTTTGGTATCTATGCTGATTAC